GTGAATCACCTCTTTGTCCATGATATACATACTGTGTCCACACTGTATATGTTATCCACCCGTTAGTCATTAAAGTAGCCATCGCCAAGAATCAGGTTGACCTCTGAGACATTGCAGTCCTTGGGTTCAAAAATAGTATTTATTTTACTTAATAGTGTTCCCAAAGTGAGAGAGTAGTAATATTAAATTGTTATATTTTATTACTAGTGATGAGTAACCTCTTACCATGTGTGTATAGGGGAAATATTATGTGTAGTTATGTATAGAGCTAAATATAATGATGGACACACATACATATGTGATGCTATCCCTAGTTTTAAGTATGCACTAGGGTCTTAATTATATGATATATGATATATGAACTACCCTATTTTGTGCCACTGCTTAAAGGTGGGAGGAACAGGAACAGAGAATAATTGCTGAATAGATAGATTCATTTCCTGATTAGGCTAGTGAATGCAGTTTTGACTGACAGCCTCTGGAACTTGCCCTATTCATGGGGAGAAGTATATGGTTGCCTGTCAATCCATGCTTTGTAATTCAGGGTCCATGACTTTAGAAATAAATACTGAATGCAACCATGTTGTGATTCATGTTAACAAATGGGGCAAATCATACAAGGCTTTCTTCTGAATCATGTTAGGCTTCCTGGTTGACAAAGCTAAAAGAGTATAGGGCTAGTTTTGAGAAGAAAGCTACTCAGAGGAACAGTAGGAAGGAAATGAATTCTATTGGGTACCTCACACTCTGCTGTGAAATAGTGGGGAGTCACTAGAAATGCCGATTGAGAGCAAGTGGGGGAAAGAGTTGAGCATCTACTGTGTAGCAGTGAGAAATTGTGAAAGTTAGGTCTGGGTTCAGATTCTGGCTCTACCACATTAGCTTGGTAATGCTAGGTGAATGGTTTGGCTTTTCTTCTTCCTAGTTTCTTCATAGATAATGAGAAAACTACCTCCTACCTTATAAGTCAGTTGTGAGAGTCAAGTGAGGTGATGTCAAGAAAAGCATTATTTTAGTATATGTGAGTGCATGAGTATGAATAAGGTGCCTGTTTGTGTATGTGAATGTGTATGGTATGTGGAAGTGTGTTGTTGTGTGCATGTCTGGGGGGGGCACAGAGGTCAACTTTGGGCTTCATTCTTTGGGGGATTTCCAACTTTTTTTTTTTGAGAAACTGTGTCTCATTGGCCTGGAGCTCATCAAATAGTCTAGGCTGGTTTCCAGACTATGCCTTTCCTTGTGCTGAGGCTACAAGGTAACAGTATTGTTCCTGGTCTCATTTTAGGGGTTCTTGGAATCAAATTTAGGTCTCCATACATTTTACTGAATGAGCCATCTCTTCAGCAAGCAATAGCATTTTTGTATATGCAGAACATTCTAAGAATTTAAGACTTTGTTGTGATTTTTTTCTTCTCTTTGCAGCTTGGGAGTAGTTTGTAGCAGGTGTTTACCTCTGGTTATAGACAGCAGGCTGCAGGTTTTCTCCCAGGAAACCTCACACTCCTGGACAGAAACAATCCTATTTTTTTTTGTACTTCATCTAGAAAGTGAATTTAAAATTCCTGCAAACATCGTGTTCTTCTATCCTGCCTGTATCCAACACAAATGGCTCCCTAGTGCTCCAAAGAGAACAAATAAATGCACCGCAGGATTTCATCAAATAGCTCGAAAGGAAAGATACAAGAGCCCACGGGCCGCCACCCTCCATGGTGGTTATTCAGAAAGACAATACGTATGTGTAGAAGGATCCCAGGACTAGCAGCATCCAATAGACTTGGGCTTGTGTCGCTGACATCTGTTTGCTTACTGCGTAACCTTAGACCACTAGTGAGTTATTTGGGAAGAGAGAGCCTCAACTGAGAAATGCTCCCATCAGATTGACCCATGGGTAAGCCTGTGAAGCATTTTCTTGATTGATGATTGGTTTAGGAGGACCCAGCTCACTGTGGGTGGTGTCATGTCTGGGCTGGTGGTCCTGGCTGCCATAAGAAAGCAGGCTGAGTAAACCACAAGGAGCAAGCCAATAAGAGGCACTCCTGCATGACTTCTGCGTCAGTTCCTGTCTCCAGGTCCCTGCCTTGAGTTTCTGCCCCAATAACAGACTATGAAGTGGAACTGCAAATTAAAATAAGCTTTCTTCCTCAAGTTGCTTTTGGTCATGGATTATTATCACAGCAGTAGAAAATCTAAATAACACAATCACTTACCTTTTCATAATCACAAGTAAGTCATCTTGAAAACTCATTTAACAATATGCAGAAATACTAGTGTTAAAACTCAGAAGTAATGTGTGCAGGGACATCAAGGACACCCAGTCAATATTTCTTTGTCATTTTGCATATGTTTGAGTCTGTAGATATCATTTTGATTTTTTGGGTGGCCAAGCTAACTTAGGTGTCCGTATTCCCATAGCCTAACCATTTTAACTTACTGTTCCTCTTTTTGCAACTTTGTGATAACAATATGGTCATCATCCCAGTGAGAGCAAGGGAAATCCAGAATTTTTAGCATATTTGGTTTTGGTTTACCAGATAGTTAGTACTTGAGTACTGACTCTTATGACTCAGATTACCCTGAACTTGCTTTCTTGCCAAGGATGACCTTGAACTTCAGATCCCTGTGCCCACACTTCCCAGGTGCTAGAATTACAGACATACACCACCATGCTCAGTTTCTGTGGTGGGTGTTAAAGACTGAGGTCAGGGCTTTGTGCATGCTACATAGGTATTCTGCTAACAACCATATCCCCAGCCCAGCAAGCACATGAGCACTTCTATGGAAGCTGAATTATAAATGGAAGGGCTTGGGCACATTGGGAGTCTTAGAGTTCACAGAGAAAATGCACACTTCTGTAGAGTCTCAGGTGAGGAGGACTAATGTTTCATCCAGCTCAGGGTACAAGGAGTGGTAACGGCTACATGAATAGTCTCCTTGTTCTTATAGAATGGGGGCTTAGTCTGTACACTGTGTCCAAACCCTTTAATTCTCTCTCCACCTCTGTCTTGCTGAATCTTGAGGATAGACATTATTGCAAATGAATCAGAAGGTAGCAGAGATTCCTCCCAACTTAATCTTCCTTTATGTTTTTAAATGATCCTTCTGAATATTCAAATTTTGCTAAGAAGGAGCAGCTCTCTGGCCAGGCTACTCTTCTGAAGAGGTCCTCATCTCCCACTACTCCTCATGCTCTTTGATATTGGCTTGGTAAGCTTAGTTTTTTTTTTTTTTTTTGAAAGTGTTCTGATATGAGCGTCTGTCTCTGTACTTAGTCTCTGGGTGGTGATAGTTTATGAGATCTGGCACTGAGATGTGACCTCTAATCATGTATGAACTTCCTCTAACCTGGGGCTCACCGCTTGGAAATAAGTGAATCAGTGTGAGAAACAACAGTTTGGTGAGTTGTTTGGAGAACATAAAAACTGTGGCATTGAACCACTGTGGTTATTGGATCAGAGAGTTTGCATCAAGGAGAATATGAGCTCTGTCATCATGATGCTGTGAGGACTGAAGCTGTCAATATGTTTAAAGTACTCAGAGTAGAACCTAGTTAATCACATTGCATATGATTCCATTGTATGAAAAGTCCAGAAGAGGCAAATTGGTGAAAACAGCAACAACACAAAATAACTATTGATTTCTCCTAGGGTAAGGATGGTGAGGAGGTCAAAGAGTAAGAAGCAAAGGGAGTGGGATTTGTCTAGCGGGATAAACAAGTTCTTAAATGATTATGGTGATGGTTCCCTGGTTCTGCCTTACTAAAGAACAATACATTTTTTAATGAGTGAATTTTGAGGTGTACAAATTCTGTCTCTGTGTCTCTATTATCTTTCAACCTACCAATAACTTATCATCTCTATCACATATCTCTATGTTAGTCATCAATAATCTACCATGCCTATCATCTGCCAATTGTCTATCTTGTCTATCATTATCTATCTACTATCTTCTACCATCCATCCATCTGTCTATCTTCTGTCTGACATCTGTCTCTGGTCAACCTTACTGTCATGTTAGTCCCATCAGCTGACTCCTGTTCCATTGACCATTCATTAAAGTAGTCCCTTGACTGATTGTCCCAACTCTACAACTGCCTCTCCCCTGATTGTCTTTTACAGAGCATCATAGCGACCCTCCAAAGTAAAACAGACCACGGCATTCACAGACCATGGCACTGCCTCTCCATTACATTCAGTCTTTAGAGTAGAACATTTTAGCATTGCTACCAGGCCCTGAAATATCTGGTCCTGGTGACTTCATCCAGTCAGCCCCTTTATTTGCTCTATTCCAATGCTTCAGCTTTCTTTCTGACTATCTCAAGACTTCTACTTACCATTGAATCTTCCCAGAATGGACCTCACCTCTGATGGCTAATTACTTTATATCATCTTGGACTCAGTCATGCTGTTCCACATCAGCTAAGGTTCTCTTGCCTAATCCTGTTTAAAATTGACCCTTCCTTTATCAACTTCTTGCTACTCATTTCTTTTTTTTTCATAGCATTTACCACAATTTGAATTCATGTTGTAGTTATTAATCCATTTGCTTATTGGAAGTCTCTTCCACTAAGCTACAAGTGCTCTATGAGATCAAGGAGTTTATCTAGTTTGTGACTGCATCCCTAGACTTGGGACAGTCTTCACTCAGTGTTTGTGAGTGTCTGAGTAAAGGCCCTGCACGCAAACAATTGCTCACCCATTTCCTACAAATGCTTCCCAATTCTGTATCATCATTTGAAGATCACATATACCTGGAAGCTTGGATTAAATTTTTAAGAAAGTCATTTGGAGAGGTTTCCTTTCAATAACATGGATTGTATTTTCATTAGTGAACAATGAAGTGCTTAGACTGATAAACACTAATTGATCTTTGCATTACAGCATTTGGAAACACATAAAGGGTTTCATGGTCTGTGTTTACCAACCTTTCCTGTATAGTCATTTTGGTGGCATAGAGAAAAGATCTGATGGATGACATGGGCCTTTATGTTTAGATTTACTTACAGTGTGGACTTTCTCGGGCTCCTGTCCGCAGAAGAATCCTAGCAATGGGCACATTATTGGTCATGATGGCAATGTCCAGGGGTGTCAGTCCCTCGCTGTTTGGTGTGTTCAGATCTAGTTCTTCTGGTGTATACTGGTAGAGTAGGAGTTGCACGGCATCTAGGTCCTGCTGCTCAACTGCCTCAAACATGGCTTCATTGCCCTGGAAATTCTGGAGACAAAGAAAAACAGGTTGGTACATTGTCACAGGCAATATCTCAGGACTTCAGAGATTGTTTTAGGGCTCACTGGAATACATACAAGTGGGTGACTATAGTACTATCATTTATCATGTGATTCTCAAATTCAGCACTCTGTTGGCCCTTCCATGTTTCCTAGTAGGCCCTGACCACACACATTTAGATGTGATGGGTTGGTGTGGTACTGTGCTGTGTGGCCCACTGTATAAGGCAGTGAGGAAATCAACTCCCTGCAGCCAGTCTGCTGCTGGAGGGATTTTGTTTGTTAGGCTATTAAAAGATGTTCTTAAATCCTGGATTAAGTCGTTACTCCTTTGTTTTCTGTAGCATCCCTCAAGGCTTTTAGTCATGTTAATATGTCTTTGTTATATTTCACTTTACCTTTGGGATAATGTTCTGCAGAACACAGCTGGGTGAATGCTGGCATAGATAATGTGGGAACAAGTGGTTTTAATAGTGTCTACTTTGTATCGATAGTTCACGATCTATGTTTCAACTCTTTCCCTCCTTCTCCACCCTCAGGTGTTATTATCCCTGGTCTTGATTGTTAGTCTTGATCTCATCAGCCCAGACGCTATACCACCGTTACAAGAGTAATCTTCCTAAACTTCAAATGCTGCTTGTCATTTCCCTCTACCACCTGCAGGCTGCTGATGCCTATATTCTTAGGTCTACTTTATTTAAGGTTAATTATTATTATTAGTTTCACTGGGTTCAGAAGCACTCAGATGATGTCTGGACAAAACTTCTGAGTGTACTGTTGAGGGTGCTTCTACAGACACTAGAGTTAAAGAGGTCTGATCCAGCCAATGGATGAAATCTTTGATGCATTCACACTGTGGTAGCATAATTGGGAGGCAGTGAAAGGAAGAAGGTGAGGACAAGGTGGAGGAAGTCAGTCACTGGGGGCATGTCATTGGACATTTGTCTTGCCTAGGTCTTTTCCTGTATACTCCTTTCTGTTCTCATTCACCAAGAACTGAAGAACAGCTTCTGCCATACATTCCTGTCCTGAAGATCTGCCAAGGGCATGAAGCCAAGCGGCCATGAACTTTAAGCCATAATCCTGAATAAACCCTTACTCCCTTAGGCTGTCAGGAGTTTTTGTTTTTGCCATAGCTACAATAGAACTTACTATTATATACCCTGGCCATTATAATCCCACAATCTCTTAGCTCGGGCCCCCAATCATTACACATGTAGCATTTTTGAGCTGAGGGGAGAGGTTGAAGTGGCTTTCCAAGGAGGGCTACAATGCTGAGTGGATAATTGTTTAAGAGGGACACAAGTTGAATATTTATGAACTACAAATCATCTATAGAAAAAAATAACATGGACAATATGGCTCTTTGGGAAAAGTTTTGTAAAAGATTAACAATAAACAAAAAAGATCTCACAAAAACTATTTTTTGGTAGCTCGCCAGGGAGGATGGAGGCATATCCGACCTCTGCATGTGTATGTTGTTTCTGTAAGAATTGACTGGCTCTTAGAGATGCTGGGTTGCCATTGGCCTCGACTTAGTGCTAGGATCTGATTAATACATGGAAGAGCCTCAGTGACCCAATGTTTGGGTGGGAAGACTTTATTTTTAGTCTCATCAAAAATTGATTTTCCCTATCCAAGACTTGCCAGTCAGTTTCGGCTGAGCACATACCATAGCATAGGAACCTTGGGAAAATATGAAATGAGTATGCAAATGCTTGTTTTGACAATAGGGACCCAGAGGAGAAGGCTATTTTGGTATGCTATTCTCTTGCTGCAAGACACCGTACTGAGTAGAAAAGTGGCTTTTCTACAGTCTGCCTTCTGATGCTTAGGTCACTAACTAACCCCAACTAAGCCCTCCCAGAAGATGGGTGTGAAATGGGAAACCATATTAGAAAACAAATTAATTCAAAATCAAAACATTTGTCCTGTCTCCAGTGTACATTTGCTTATGATTATTAGTGTCTCTAGTTTCTTGCCTGCCATATTTTACTATCCCTTTTAAGTTATTTCCTCCTCCAAACTCTAACTTTGCTTCTATCTTGGAAGGCCAGGACTTACTTCTGCTTTAATCTCAAATGGAGCCCTTACCTCCCTGCAAAAATACTCTCGTCGATCATGTGAATATGTGCCAGATGCTTTGACCCATAGCCAGTGCCGAAAACTACTGAGAACATCTGTAATATACTCAGCATGCTGCTGGCTATGGTCTAATTGCCATGACAGTTATACAGGCAACCCAATTTAGCAACAGGAAGATACTCATTTTTCCTGATGGACTGATACACTTTTAGTTATCAGCTAATGGGAGGTCATACATGATTGTCTTTCCTGCTTTGACTGCCTGGGGACTCAAAGGAGAATGTAGTGCTATGTTTCAGGGAGTATGCTTGCCTAAAGTTGTGGTGTAATTGTTTGAATTGCCATCCATTTTCTTTTGCTGGCCTTTTTTGTCCTTTTCCTATTATATAATAAATAGAACTCTATTACTGGATTCTATTTTGAATATTTCTGAAACATATATGAAATGCATATCTATATATACTTGTATGTTTACATATATATATGCATGTCAGAAACCTATAATTTTTTAATACTATTAGTCAAATGAGCACTGATAATCCCAGGCAGTCCATTTTATCTGAAACATCCAATATTTGCCAAACTGTGTGTGTGTGTGTGTGTGTGTGTGTGTGTGTGTGTGTGTGTGTGTGTGTGTGTTGCTGAGGGTCTGGGGACTGAACCCAGAACCTTGTGCATCCTAGACAAGCAATCTACCCCCAAGTCCACACTTCTATCCCCTCAAGCTGCTTATTTGGAGACTTGCTTATTTGGTCTGGTAGTGAAAAATAATTAAGCAAGAAATTAAGAAACAGAGGAGGAGAAAGTCTTCTATTCATCCAAACTTAATGTAATATGCATATGGATAGTTCCTGTCTTGATGGACTTTATGTGTAAAAATGAAACTCATCAAACTGTTGAACAATGAACTGCCATGGGAGTAGAAAAAGTTCTGTTACCACGGATGTCTTTCTGAGACTCAGCCGATCCGTTCTGGTTTTAAAATAGGTCTCGTCAAAGGACGAGTGGCTGCCCTTCAGCTTCTCCGAGAGGTTCCTGTACAGGCGCTTGGCAGCATTGGGAGACGATGGCACGCTGTGTTTTTTTGACTGAGAAAGATGTAAATTCTGCATTTGTTGGGTCATTTTCGAGCGGCAGTTCCTAAGAAGAGAGAAACAGCATGCATGATGATTTCACACAATGCAATTACACACAACAAAGAACTCCATCACCTCCAGGAACCATCTGGAAATCTCAGATCCAAATGTGATATTCCAGCTGGGAAGGCCCACAGAGATCACCAAACCCAGCTTCTGCCTGCTTCAGAGGAAAAAATGGAAACTCAGGGGGAAGGAAGCAACTTCTCTATGGCCCCAGAGCTGACGGGTGGCAGGAATGAAATGACAACTCCATTTCCTATATGAAGTTTCCATTTGCACAAGAACACTTAAAACCCTTGGAATCTCACTCAGTTAGGAAAGTATCTCAGTGCTGTATCTAGGGGGTGAGTATAATCTTGGGTATATGTAACTGAGGCTATTTAACTCCCCCCACCTTCTAGATGCTGACCTCTATTGAATGGATACGAAAGTGTGGGTCAGCCAGGCAGTGGTGGTGCATGTCTTTAATCCTGGCATTTAATAGACAGAGGCAGGTAGATCTTTGTGAGTTTGAGGCCAGCCTGGTCTACAGAGTGAGTTCCAGGACACCGGGGCTACTAGAGAAACCCTGTCTTGAGCCCCCAACCCCCCAAAAAAAGAAAAAGAAAGAAAGTAAGTGTGATTCTTCTCTGCATAACTCCCTTTTTCTGAGAATAGCAATCAAATTGTGTAGTTAACTGTGCCCACTTGGTTAACTATGCCAGTGTGCTCAGGAACTTTGTGTCTATAGGACTGATCCTGCTTACCTTGGACATCCTGACAGGAGCCCTCTATTCCTGCCTAGCAGTCTTCAAGTAGTACTTGACTATTGCTCCTAAAATCTGTAGTAGGTCCCCTCATACCAGATCTGAAGTCAGTTTCTGGGAGGTTATGTTTGTCACTTCAAAAAATCCATCCAACATTAATTTGGGTATTGCTATAGAAATATGGAGGCTAGAAAGTCTGTTCTTGCCTAGTATATGATGCCTATTGGACAGGTAAATGCAAAAATAGAATTGCTAGTCTATACATTATGGTACAAAGTGTGTTCCCCTCCCTGTAACCTCTGAGGCACTCGGCCCTGACCTCTCTGAAAAAGCACTGCTGCTTCCCTAACCTCTTTCTGTCACATTTTGAATGACATCTTCTACTTGTAAAGCTAGTACCAACTACCCTTGATTTATGTTCTCTCCAACAAATGAATTATCACTATCATGACATTTAAATGTTCTCAGGCACCTTTTCAAACTAACTTGCAACTTCTTCCAGTACAGAAAGATGACTGAACACAATTTAGTCTTAGTTATGCCCATCAGTTGCTACCCAGTCTTAGCTAGGCAAAAACACTTATATTGGACTAAGGATACTTGGCATTGCTTGTGTGAGTGCATTTTAATATATCTTTAATATCATTTTAATTGTCTTCAAAGCAGAAGTAGAAAGGTTTGGTGATTTATCCTCTTTCCCCTCCAATCTATAAATACTTTATCTTGGACTCAATAGCAACCACAGGGTTTTCCTTACTATTTCTTTCCACAAAGTTCCAGGCTATCACGTGGGGATTGCTCTAACCTCTTTATTTCTGCCTTCTGTCTCTAGACTTTTCCTTCAGCATTGACACCCTAGTTCAAGCCATCTGTCTTGCCTACATCATTATCCTTCCCAAAATAACTCTACATTCTTTGTATCTCCCACAACGCCCAGGAGTCCTGTAAATAAATTCCTGTTGTTTGATCAAATTCCATCTACTTGCCCTCTAACTCATGACACCTACCCACATGGCCCCCTTTGTCCTTGTGCATCTCCCATCTGTCCCCTTCTGTCAATGTAGGTTGACTTTCTCTGCCTCTCTGACTTCCTCCTCACACTCCCCAGCTGTCCCTTTCTTCCAGGCTACTCATCAGCATGTTTCCACCCCTCTAGCTTCCAGCTATCTTTATGTTCTCTTTTTTCCCTCTATAGTTTAAATTTTCTCAGGTGAGAGAGAACAAGAAAGATAATTTTCTGTTGTCTATCCTTATAACTGTGAATGTCTCCACCAACTAAGTATGCTCTTAGCTTTTTCACTCTTATGGAAAGGGGCAAGCTTTGGCATTTGATAGACTCATGCTTGACTCCTAATTTTGTTATCTACAGCATATGTGGCTTTGGGTGCCTTATTTAAACCCTCTGATATTATTTATCATATGTAAATAGACAATATAATATTGGGTAAAGAGTTATGAAGATTACATTGATGAAGGAATTGACACCATAGCCTCGCAATAAATCACAGCATCATCATTCATCTTTCTTACAAATTTATGTACATTCCAAATTTACGTATGTATTTATTTTGATAGAAAAATGTAAATATAGCTATTTCATTCTTGATTTTTATAGTAACTTATGCTAAGATAGACATAGAAGGTAGAACTTTCAACTCTTAGAAGGGAAGGTGGAATAAAGATAAATCTAAAAAGGTTTTAAAATGAGAGGAAAATGATTGCTTATTTAAGGTAGAGAGATGAATTAAGTATAAGTATCAAGCTTTGTTCTAATTTATTTTGTCCTATTCTCATCTTTCCCAGTTTCTGGTAGCCTTGAAGATCAGCATTCATTAAAACAAAAACCCATGTAGACTGCCAGCCACTGGAGAGGGACCATAAGGTTGGTGGTCCTTCACCATTTCATTTCCATCTCCTTAGAAGTATCATTATTTGATCTTTCTGGTTGTTCCCTAGGAGATCCTCTTGGAATGCTTGTCATTTTTGTTTGACTTGCAGCCCCCCAAGAGCAATTAGCCTCTTCCTCTAGAGTATTTTTTTTTTTGTGGTGGTTGTTTAGCAGACATCAGCATTTTTAAACAAGTCTTTTAAATTACTCTGAACTTTGGGAATGAGATGGTTTGGAAACAAAGGGCTTTGAAAAGTTCTGACATATTACTGAATCTAGCAGATCATGTTCATGACTAGGAATGGGAGCAAGGCGGGAAAAATACGAGAGGCTCTGTGCAAGAAGGAAATGAAGACTAAGCTAGAGTTGCCACGACCTGGCAGAATGTTGGTACTGTCCCCTTCACAGGATGGAGTCTCAGTAATTCTAGGTATTTAAAAACATCTCTGTTCAATCATTGTCACTTGATGAACCAAGCAGGAATGTCAGTGGCTATAGAGTCCAAAAATATAGCGACCACAGATTTAAGTTCTGAAGTGTCACCGAACAATGACAAATGCTGGGGAGAAGGGATAATCTGGCTTTCATAGTTGCTATATTATTATTAAAACACCTGCCTTTCAACAGAATATCATGAGAAACAAAAAAAACCCAAGTCACATCCAAGAAAATAAACAGGTCAATCAAAATTGCTTCTAAGGAAGCCAAATGTTGCAGTCATTGCCTAACACCTTCAAGACCATTTTAAGTGTGTTTATAGAGCTAAAGGAAATCAGGTCTAAAAAGTAGACTGAACTTGAGACCTCACTAGGTAAGAATATTATAAAGAAATAGAATATGAAACAGAATAAGAGTAGAAGTTCTGGAATTGAAAAGTATAACGACTGAAATGAAAAGTTCACTGGAACCCAACAGCATGTTTGTTTGTTTTTTTTAAATTTTATTTACCAGTTTAAATTTAGATAAGAAACAAGGTTGCTTCACAAGTCAGTTCCAGGTCCCTCTCCCATTCCCTCCCTTCCTCCCGTGCCCTCCCCCCCAACCCCCCCCCCGTTATCCCCTCATTTCCCCAGGGAGGGTGAGGCCCTCCATGGGGGTGTGCATAGTCTGTCATTTCATATAGGGCAGGGCCTAGACCCTTCCCCAAGAGTTCAGGGTGAGAGTGCACCTCACATTGTTCTATGGGAGTCCAAAGTCCGTGCATGTTTGTTTTTACAGGAAGAAAAAAATATCAGCAAGTTTCAAGATAAATCAATGCTGACAAAGGAGAAGAGACTCTCTACCATCACCTTGATAGATGTAAGAAAATGACCAGATCTATTAATACACTGAATCAAACTGGGGTTGAAAAGAACTTGCAATAATATAAGGGAATTTCTTCAGCCTGAGAGAATGAATGAAAACAATAAACACTTGGTTACATTTTGGTTCTGAAATGTCCCCACAGGATCATGCTTTGAACGTGCTTTCCCTAGTTAGTGGCACTATTTTGAAAGGCTGTGGGATCTTAGTCTGAAGGTTATACCAAACCTGCCTTTCTCTCAATTCCTGTCTTTCTTCCTGCTGTGAGGTCTGCTATGAGGAAGGAACTTCTGCCACACATTCCTACTGCCATCAACTTTCCCATGTAACAGACTGAAGCCCTTAGGAGCTATGAGTCTACCTAAAACTTTGACCTCTCATTTCCACCAGGTTCTGTGGTCAGAGTAATAAATACAGAACTATGACCAACAATGTACTTCACGACTAGATGCAACCCTGATCAAAATACCAGCTGAAGGGCAAATTCGTAGTGACACTTTCAGAAAAAGCAAGGGATCTAACAAGCCAAAACAATCCTGAAGAAGGAAAATTGGAAGATTTCTATTTCCTGGTTTTAAGACTCATTAGAAAGTCATTGAAATCAGCTTTAGAATCACCATGTAGATAAAGACAATGGAGTACAGAGAGCAGCTAAATTAGAATTAAGGCCCCACAAACAATCTGAACACATAGGGTCAATTGCTTTTGGAAAATGCATTGAAGTAATTAGCAGGGAAAACAGTCTCTTGTCAGTGCTGTAACACTGGGAAAACTATCAGTAAGAACCTAAAGGCCTAACCCTTACTTCCCATCGTGTACAAAAGCCATCTTGAAGTAAATAAAAAATCTTTTTATTGTAGGTGTGTGTCTCTCTGTGTGGTGTTTTGTGTGGGCTCACGTGTGTATGTGGGGGCCTGAGGCCAATGATGGGAGTCTTTCTCTGTCACTATTGGATAGAGCAGGAATTCCTACTCAAACCCAGAACTTGATGTTCTGGCTAGCCAAGTTAACCAGTTGGCCCCATGGATTTCCTCATTACCATATTCCCTGTGCTGGAAGTATCGG